ACCTAAGAAATATGCAGCCTCACATTGATATGTGAATACCCATTCATTTGGGTAGGAATCGCAAGTATTTATTGCTGGGAAAGAAGAGGTGCATACAAAATTAAGTTCAAATGCATGACCAGGTCCTGATTTTTATGTGACATTAATATTAAGAAGTTGAGTGATGTCTGAAAGTATACCTTCCTGTGTATAAATATCTGTGCTTATGCCATGTAAAGCATTTGCGCTGAGGACTTTGGAAGCATTTATTACCAGGGTTCTGTTTTTCAAGGAAATATTAATAATTACTTTCAAGTACATAGAGTTTTAGGGAGAACTTACACATTGCATATGTGCTTTAAAATTAAAGTCTTTTTTCCTGGGTTTTAAAATTTGAATGATAAAGCCCTAAAAAGCTCAAGATGTAAAGAAAGTCCTTTATCTCCATGCCTCTACTGCCTTTTTCTTTGTTTGTGCTAATCAGAACCTAAAAGAAAAGAAACAAGTCTGAAACTGGGGTATTATTGTTAGATTGTTAATATGGGATTATGAATTTTTAGGAGGCTATAAATTGAGAGTTGCACTGAAAGAGAAGCGGAACAGGTCCACATGGTCATCTTTACTACCTGGAATATGAAAATGCCATTGATGGAAATTTTGACTCAAGCACACGTTCAGGCTACTGACTTTCATTTTCTGTTTTAAAGATCATAGTCTATGATCTATGGCTCTCTTGTCTTTGAATTTTTCACCCTCCCTTTCAATGTTTAGTGAGCCCCTGCTATAAGCCACATATTGGGCTAGGTGGTATTACTAGGTGGTAATATAAATCCCATAAGCCATGACCCGTGTCTCAGAAATGTGTGCTCTTTTAAGAGGGACAAACAAGTAAACTGATGCAGACCCTGTGGTGTGCTGAGTGTTAAGTTGAAGAGGTTGTGGGGTGCTCTTGAGGCACAGAAGAATGGCAGCTAACTCCACTCCAGGGAAGGCTGGTGAAGTTCTTTAGAAGCAATGATGCTTCATTTAAGTTTTGAAAAATGAGTAGGCACTAGCTAGAGTAGGAATTCTTAACGTGAGATCCACTAATTTCCAAGAAGTAGATGGGTAGAGTTCAGCGGGTCTATGAACTTAGATGGGAAAAAATATACCTTTATTTTTACTAGCATTGAACCACAATCTAGCATTTCCTTCAATTATAAATGTAAGAAACAAACCACAGTAATATTAACAATACTGGTGACAATATCACCAATAGAAATCATAGCTATTTTCCTACCATATCCATATCACATGCTGCTGAATATATTTCGAACATCCCATATGCTCTAAAAGGACCATTGGACCTTATCGATATGTTAATAAAAAGTACACATATTATCATACCAGAAATTGGTTTTGACATTTAATTGATTTTAGTATTTTGATAACTAAATTTCAATATAAATTGTTTTCCTTTCTAATTTTATATGCTTCATTTTATACATTTAAAAGCATTATACTTCAATGCCTATGAAAAGAAGAGGGGAAAATAAAATAAAATAGAAGCTTTACACTGAGACATAACCCAGGGTTTGGGCTTCAGGTCTACGGCAGACTAGCAGTGGAGTCCACAGCACAGTGAAGATTAAGAACCCCTGAACAGGGGAATAGGTTGGGGAAGGTGTAGTAGTTATTTCAGGAAGAAGAAAAGCTTATGCTTGACTTTATGTACTTCATCTTGATGCTTCAAATTATACATAATGTTTCTTTAAAGGCAAATGTTGGTAGGTCTGAGGACAAAAATATGTATTATACATAACTTTTTTTGTGCATATATAGTGTTTTCATAGAAACATGTCATTGGAGAGCAAACTTATTAAGGATATTAATAGCTCACACAGAATTTCTGAGGCTAACAAAAAAGGTCCATCATGAAATCAGACTCGCAGGAGGTTGTGGTGTGATAAACACCCAAGGAAAATGCCTGAAATACTTATTTGCTACGTTTTCTTGCATGGGTGGAATGCTAAGGATCATTTAAGATCAATCAACATTTGCCTTACATGCATTTGAATAGTTGTAATAGGTACTGGAAATACAGAATATACTAAAATGTTACGAAATATTAATAGAAGCAGCTGGTAGCTGTGGAAAGAGCACTTGACCAGGAGTCCACAGCCCCAGGTCACAGCTTCAAGTCTTACACTAATATCTGTGCCACCTTGTGTATGTCTTATTATTGGTAAAATGGAGATAATGATTCTTGCTCTACCTTTGCTCTAAGGATCAAATGAGTACATAAGGATGCTTATAAAGATTTGAAAAATAATATATATTATTAATATGGAAATAACAATGAAATATCAATATCATAACATTTTATGCTATGAATATATAAATAATAGTTAAACTTTCTATCCTTGCCTTCTAAAATATATTGAAGATAAAACCTTTTAGATGAATAGAATTGTGAAAATATCTATACATATAAAATATAAAATGCAAATGTAGCATATGAATATATCTATAACATAAGAATGAAATTCCTATGAGATTAGGCAATAAAACATGTTATCTTAAGTCACTAGATGATTCCATAATAAAATCATTTCCCTATGGCTGGCAACAAGCTTTCAAATATGTAGCGTAAGACAGCAATGAATTTATGTATGTGCTATTTAGATTTAGTGGCACTAAGATTACAAGGACATTTAATTAGTAAAGTACATTCAATTCTAAAATTTAGATCACTTTCTCTAAATAAACTTGTTCCTCCAAGGAATCATGCAAGCAAATGTTGACAAATACTGCAAACAATGGGAGAAAGACACTCATATCAGGATTTTTTCTTCCTAAAAAAAATTCTGCTCTTATTAATTATACTTTTCATTATAACCTAGCAGCACAGGATTTAAATACCAGCCTGGGTCCTCCATTCTCTAGGACAATGTTGAAAGTTTATTTCTACAGTAAAATATACCTTTCACATTCTGAGTGTCACCATATAAATCAAACAAAGAGAACTGCATTCCAATTCTCTCCATTAACACAGAAGCATACAACTTACAAACCAGAACATTTTTCCATTTTTCGTTTGAAGTGTTATTCAACCTCAAGTATGCTTGGGACCATTCTTAAGCCAAGGCTATTGTGATTATACCTGTTAGACTTTTATTCTATATGAATTATCTAAGCCAAATGGAGTCTAAAATACTGACCCGTGACTGCCAATTGGAATAGTCCCTAACCCTCAATCATGTACTAAAAGAGACAAATGAGCTAGATTTGAGTTCGGAAATTAAAAAAAAAAAAGCAAAGCTTAATGTGCATCCAAGAAAGACACAGTTAACGCAAATGGTGGAGAAATGTGGAATACTACTCTAACCTACTTAAGTTCATTGTTTCCCAAGTACAGACACCTGCACAAAGATACACAGACAGACATTTATGAACTCACACATATGGACCAGAGTGACTCAACATTTCAAAATCAGGAGAAGCAAAACCCAGTGAATTCTCCCCAAATCCTTACATACCCACTAAGACACTCCCTTGACAAGCCTAAGATCCGGAAGTACCTTAAAATTTTATAGGCATAAATTACAAATTAATGAAACCTGCTGAAAGCTGACAAAGATGCACAGTTCAAGACATTAGCATTGAAGCAAGGCAGACAACTGACAAAAATACTCAGAAGTTCCCAAACTTAAATGATTGTATCCTGGATACCAAAGTAGATAGTGGATTCAGGGTGAACAGATTTGTATTCTGGGACCACAGCAGATGGTGGGTTTAGGGATCATAGTAAGTGTTTCAAAGTTCATTCCCCCTTCTACCCAAATTTCAACCCACATTTCTAAAAATTAAAGCTAAATGGTTCAAATCCTTTATAAGGTTGTTCTTTCAGTGAACAAAGCTTTGATCAATGGACTCCGTCTTGCCAGCTGGCTTCAAGGGCTCTACCCTCTCAAACAGTTCCTCAGCATCCTTTCTTTTCCCTTTTCTTGGGTAAGGATGCTCTTTTTACTTCATGTGAGCTTAGGTTTCTGAGGTGCTGAGAAACAGGAGTATGGGGCCCTTCAAGTTGTTCTCCTAGATTTAATACTGCAAGCAAGCCAACTCAGGGTCTCAGCATTGGTTAACACCTTTGTGCTTAAAAGCCTGTTTGTTACTGGATCCAAACTGGTGCCCCAATAAAAGCAAAGGCAACTCAAAAACTAAAAAAGTCTTCCCTCTATCCCCCCCAAAATAGCCCATTCCTTTCTGAGTCCAGGTTCCTGAATGCACATGAAACTGTAGCCTTGACTGAGGGGAGCAGCACTCCCTCCTCAGCTGGAGGCTGCATTCAAAAAGAATGGATTTTTTCCGCCTTCTGATAGTCTGAGATGTTGTGCCTGTCACTCAGAGGGTGAGCAAAATAGGGTTCAAAACAGAGAACAGAAATGTATAAACAGATGCAAGACAGTGAGAGGAGTATACAAAGTAGGGAGACGAAAGAGATTGATATCAAGCCTTATCCTGGGATGGGCCACTCTTCCTGTGCCTCTAAGCAGCTCCTAGGCTATTTTAATTATAAATATTTATATCCACGGAAGCAAATTCAGAAGGATTTATATCCCAGGAGAGTGTAGATCAATAGATCTAAGCAAACCTCATCTCTAGGCTGACCACTTAACACTGTTATCACCGATTAGGGTTGCTTGGCCCTCTGGGAGGGTGTCGGTTCCCCTCTTGTCCTCCATAGGTCCACCCCATTCTTGGCCCCAAGAGGAAATCAATAACAAGATGCAGGGATCGATACCCAGGACATCTGCTTGGCTGCGGTGGCTCACCTTAGGATTGGAGCTTGGTCAGCCCTTGTCTATCCCGCAAACCCCCGTTCCTCCCCCAACCCCATCCATCCTCCCAGATCTGTTGGAGCATCCTAATTTTGATCTTTAGCTCATTAACTGAAATCAGCCAAAATGTTGACTTTTTTGAGCAAGAAAATAAAGACTTAGTTATTATTTGCCTCACTTTCCAAAAGTGAGGAAACTTACCAGACCTCAAGGATTGGGTCAGAGTCGATTTCCTGCCTTATGGCCCGTAGTACGCTTCCTGCTGCTGACTCTCTGGCCACCGAGGACTGTCGGAGCGACTGGAGCTGGGTGGGTTACTGTTCCAGGTTTGCCTGCGTCTCCCTATGCTTGGTCTGCAGTTGATAGATCCTCTGCTCCTGAAGCATCCAGCTATTGACCCGCCCAGGGAAAGAAAGAAAAAAATGGAAAAAAAAAATCAATTAATACTAAACGGCTTAACAAAACCCTGCATAGCACAGGCCCGAAGCTTACAGGGTAGGAGTTGGGGTGGTCTCAGTAGCAACAGTGGTTGTGGGGACAGGACAGGCTCAGCTAGCTAGAAAAGCTGATGTTCCAGGGACAGGAAGCCAATATGGTAGGCGTGATCACACACACACACCCACACACGCGCACACACACACACACACACTCTCACGGCAGCTTGATCTGACATGCCCTAGTCTGGGAGCAAAGAGGACAGTGCAGGTGCATGTTCATTGTGAACTGGTGGAGGGCGACACATTCACCAAAACAGGAGAAGGGCTGCAACCAAACTCATAGAACGGGTGGATGTTTTTGTTTTGTTTTGTTTTGTTTTGTTTTGGGGGGGGGATGGAAGAGGAGGAGACATTGTTTTGTTCTGAAAAGGTAATAACATTTATGTGTTGCAGGAGAGTCACCCCAGGCATTTCTTTGTGCATCTCCCTATCACACCACCACATACAGACACACAGGAAGCTTTTTAAAGGGGGGCAAGAAAATGGGGGAGCACCGTACCTCAGCTGCCAGGCCCTCTCTCTTCTGCAGGAGCTGGCTTTGAAGGCTCAGGATTTTTGCATCTCGCTGTTCCAGCTGTAAAGAGTTTACATAGGGAGGGAGCAAGGAAGGATCATGAATGTCAACCAATGAGCAATTAGCATGACAAGACTAAAGTATTGATCCACTAAAGCTCCCAGCACTGCTGTAGCCCCAGAGGTAGAGCGGCTCCCTTGTCACTAACTATGATAGTGCATTTTGGAAGCCTGTATTGTAGGCTGGCTACTTTTTGTAGCCTCAAGCCCCTTCTTGGGGTGGGAGAAGGTGGTACCTGCATGCTGGCTTTCTGCAGCTATTAGGGTGGTTTCCATCCCTGGGCAGAAAGCTGCAGAGAAGAGTATAAAGAATGTAGATTTTTGGCTGTCCTACTTCATTCATTTTTTAAAAATGCAGCTCCCTCCCGATGGCACCAGGCATTTCTGTGTATTGATTGGAAAAGGGCTAGGGCGAAATCCTGGCCTGACAGCTGGGGCTGGAACTAGTGTGGTTTTCCACTCTGCATGGTCACAGGCAAAGTGCCTTCTGTAGTGCCAACTTCTGGCCAATCCAAACACACATTTCCTGTGCACATTTGACTCAATTTAAACACTAAGGGTCAAGGTGGGAGGGGGAAAGGTATTATTTCTCTGAAAAAACAACCTTCTTCCTACATGTAAGGCTATAATATATTGAACTGAAAATGTTGGCATCTGTGACTTAGCAGACATGGTGTTTAGATGACACTAGCCAGGTCAGACTACCCCTGTAAGTTCTTCACTCCCACCATTGATTCTTTTCTTTGTAACTCTCAACTATACATACGCTAACCTTTCTTCATCATTTCTTCTACTTTTTCCCTATCCATCCCATGCCTTCACAAATTCATGTCTTAAATGGCTTTTTAAATTTTTTCCATACCCTTCTTTAAAGACCCACTAGCACTCCATCTCCTCCACGAAATCTCTCCAACAGTGGTAATCATTTATTCTTATGTGAACTTCTACTTGTGCCAAAAACTTCTCTAACAGTGGGGATGTCATGATGAACAATACAGACACATGGTCTTTATACTAAAAGAGCTTACAGACTAGCTGAGTCAATGACAACAAAACCATCCATTAAACCAACCCATCCATCCACCCAAATATTTATTGATTCATTCAATTTGTGTTCATCAGGAACTTCTTACTGTCAGAAACTACTGTTAGCTAAAAATAGAATGGTGTGGCAGAGACTTGTGTACTCACTGATAACAATTTTCTCCTCTTCTTCCCAATCACACAGGTAATCTATTATTTCCCAGTTTGTTTGTAGTGGGGCCTTATGCTAAGCTCTGGCCAATGGGATGTGGGTGGAAGAGATGCATGCCTGGCCTAGCTCAGAAAACCTCCCATGTGATCCTTCATTTTCTTTCCCTTCCAATGTGACCTTGATGGTGACATGTTTAAGATGGGGGTGCAATCTGAGTCTCTGGGGATCCAGCTGGAAAAAGAGTTCCCTGACCCAAGATGGACTATTTTTATGGTGTTAAGCAACTGAGATTTTAGGATTGTCTTACTGCAAGTGTAGTAGCTAATGTTACTTTTATTGGCTAATAAAAACAGCAAAAACAGACATAGTTCCTGCCTTCATAGAGCTTGCAGCCCAGTGGGTGAAAGAGATAGTAATGAAATAATTATAAAAATAAAAGTAAAACCACAGCTGTGATAAATATAATAAAGGAGAGGTATCGGAGGCAATAAACACATGTGCCAGAGGAAAATGACCTAGACAACTGCTACTGTACAATTATGTTGAGATCTGGAGGGTGAGTGCACTGAGGGAATATAGGGGTGTTCCAGGAAGAAGGAACAGAATGTGGAAAGTTGCTATGGTAAGGAGGGGTAAAGTACAGTTCAGACACCAAAAGAACCCCAGTATAAGTAGAACACAGAAAAGTGAGAGGAATATAATGCAACATGAGGCTGGAGAAATAGGTAAGGGCAGTCCATTTAGGACCCTTGAGATTATAGATTTCTGTCTCTGTCCTAAGATACTTGGGAGGTTATTCAAGTATTTTTTGTAAGGTTAATAACAAAATCATACTTGTATTTTTAAAAGGTCTCTCTAGCTACAACATGAAGAATGAATTGATAGTTCCATTTCCAGCCAGATGGTGGACCAGATAACCCAAAACCCTTCCACCAAAAAGTTAAGACATACTTTAAAATCAGGGCTAAGCTTGCAAGTAGGGAACTCCCCAAATGCCAGGTAAAACAAGGGAACTGAAATGACAGCAGTAAGCCATGGGATATATACCTGCTTTGGAGAGGACTACCCAGACTCAGTGACTATAGGGATTAGGTTTTAGCACCCATATGGTGACAAGGGCCCATGAAAGTTAACAAGTTGAAACTGAGATCCCCCCACACAACTGAGACCCTTAAAAGGAATGTCTAGGGGAAAAAAATCCATCTGTTGTCACAACCATGCTTATATTTTCCTGGCCTATAGGCGGGAAACAAGTTTCCCCTGAGAATTTGTGACTACACTTTACAGAGTATGGGGATTTATATATATTATACACCAAGTTCAGAAAACCTCCAAGCAGAGAAATTAAAATCAAATTTAGCCTCAGGCCATTACTATCTCTGTAGCATTTGGCAGGAGCAAACCCAAAAATACTCTGGAGAGCCTCACCTTCATGTAGGTCACCTAAGATTCTTGTAGATAAAGCCCTGCTGAGGATCTACTCACATGTTACAAAACTAAAAACCATCAGTGAGAGTAGTAGACAAAGCAAATAGCAGATTTATACCCCTGAGAACTTCAGGTCATAGAAAAATCTGGTAGAGGCTGCAAGTAAGTATGCTTAAAATGATTAAAGACAGAAAAAGATATCAAAACCTTGCAAAAATAGCAAGGCATTTTGGATAAAAAAGAGAACAAACTGGATGGGGATAAGAGTCATGCATTCAGATTAAAAAGCAACTTCTTACCAACTGTGCAGGACTCTTGGTACCTATCAGGATTTAAGAAGCTATCATAGGTTTTTCTTTCTCTCTTTATGTTAAATATGTTATTTATATCGGACAAACCTCTCAGTTGCTCTGTTAGTGACATCGAATATATAAGGGCATAATGACTGCTCTAAAGCCAGGAAGCATTTTCCATATTTAAAACTGATGATCAGCTCATAAGACATTCTCTCTGATTGTTGAAATGTCTCATAAAGGAAAATATCATCTCAGTGTGATTTCTTTGCTTCTTTGCACTCTTCGGCTCAATGTTCTCTTTCCAGCTGGGCACAAATTGAGGACACTGGCCTTTTCTATGGTGGACAAAGAGCCATAATGGGAAGGAGGTGGCAAGCATCAAAGGAAAGCTCAAAATAAGGAAGCCTCATTATTTCATCAGAAACTTTTTCTTCCTTGCTACTGTTCCAAAAATTATTCCTATGCCTCACAAAGGAACTAGGAATAAGTAATGTACTAACATCAAGAGGTTATCGGGTCAGCCTGAGCTAGTGCTCTGGATGAACCAAATCCCAGGATATTCTTTTATAGACCCAGGCTTGAGTTGCAGTGAGGGTTTTTGGCAGTGGAGAGACTTAGATGGAACCAGATGATTCCAAGCTCAGATGGAATCAGGTCAATTTCACTCACTGCTGTCTTGTGAGACGAGGATCATCATCCCCATCATCACTATCCTTTATTGAAGTTTAAGTATTTGTCAGACCATGTTATTTCATTTCATTGTCAGAAAACCTCTGCAGAGTGGACATGAATATTCCCATTTCTCAGATGAAAGATACAGAAAAATGAAATGACCTAAATGTTTCCATCTTATGTGAGAACCAGGAGTAGGATAAAAGTCCCTGGCCCTCCTCTGTAGGTTTAAATAGAGGCAAAGTCATTCAGAGCTCTAAGAAGAACAGGGGCCAATAGGGAAGTTCTTTCTTTGGCTTCAAAGCAAGTTGTATTCTAAGCAGTCAAAATGAGGCAACTGAGCTCAACTACGTTCATCTGTCTTCTAGCAGCAAATGCAGCTTTACCTAAGTGGGAGAGAGATTTTAGACAATGATTTATAGAATTGGGTATACCAGTGGGGCTGCTTTTACTCAGGGCTGCTTCTGATGCAAAGGGTCAGGTTATCTGATCCCCACTTCCTCCCTCCTCACCCTAACATCCTATCCATCCACAAGGCTTGCTGGTTGTCACTTCAGATGTGTCCTAATCTGTCCACACCACCACACGAGATCATCGTGTCCAAGTCAGCATCAATCATATTAGGCCCTGCAAACCTCCAAGTGGGCCTTCTGGCCTCCTGTCTTGCTCCTCATGCTCAGTCCTTCCACAGCACCCAGGGCAATCTTTTACAAATAAAATCAGACAATGCCACTCCCTTGCTTAAAACTCTCCAAGGACTTCCCATTGCACTTTGACTTAATTCCCTCCTTTTTGCCAAGGTTTGCCAACCCTATAGGATCTGGCCTTGCAAGCTTGTCCCCTTGGCTCTCCCTGCTGGAGTCATTGAGCCACCTTTCTGATCCTGAAGTACTCCAGCTGTACCTCTGTGCTGGGTGCTCAGGGCTCTCCTTTGCCCAGAATGCTGTCCCCAGATCTTCACATGGAAGCTCCTCTTGTCCTTTAGGCATTAGCTCAAATGTCATCTTCTCAGAGACTACTCAACTCAGAGGCCACTCCCCATCACCTTACCCTGGTTTGTTATCTTACTTTTGAACACTAAATCTTAATTACCAAGCACAGTGCCTGGCACACAGACAATGAGTAATATTTTCAAGAATGAATAAATGAGTTCCATATCTTCATTGATATCCATGACTTTTAAGACAAAGGAAATGAGATGGTGGATGACTAAGAAAAGTTATTAAATAGGTCAGCTCTGAAAAGAAAGTCTCAAGATAGATAATTTACATAGGGAAATCAGAATAAATATTTTCTTTTTGTATAACTGTGGGTGAAATTAATTTGATAGAAATAAAAGTCTGGGCTAGGGACTATTTCGGCTTATTATTTATGAACCTGCAGTACTAATAATTAGGTTTATATTTACAT